GAATGTTAAACATGGATTTTCCATACCACCGAACGGGAACGACGGTGGAAGCACTACCAAATCGTACCTAAAACATGTCATTTAATAATCAGCACATCCAGGAGTTTCCATGAAAATCCTAGGAAACTGCGATTGCGTGCGTCCAGTGTGCATCTGCAGCATAACAGAAAAGTAGTTCCACTCCTCCAGGATGTCAAAATCATCCATACAACGTGAAAAAAATGCGAAAAAAAAATCATTTTCAGTGGTTTCACTGCTATCAGATATGCTATGGCAAAAGGCTGTCCGCTACTTACCTTCCCCACTCGTACTTGCCGGCTAAGGATTCCGCAGCTCGTAACATTTTTTCCGTTTCGCCGAATTCATAAAATGCTTTGTCGACAACAGGTGGCTCGGCCCAAATCGATGATCGTGCGCTTAAATCACGCTTCTCCATTAGGCCCACGACAATGGCCACGAGGTACGAAGGAATCCGGACTGGTTGTTTGAATGCGAATTTCCTCAATTCTCCAACTTCCTGTGGCTGTCCTGTAGCAATCGCACTCATCAGACACACCAGATCATTCGGTACTGCCACCTAAAACGATTTAGATCAATCATTAGCTTAATCAACTGCAGTTGAAGCTAAAACAACGTACCACAGCATCATAGGTCTGCTTGACTGATGGTGTATCCATGCAAGGTATTATTGAGCGAGCATGGATAGCCTGACATTGACTGAACAAATAGGGCCTTTTCTTTGTGGCTGTTTGCTCGGCTTCCAGGAACTGAAGCGCTGTACACTGCTTGCCTGTGCGGTATATGAATGTAAGCTCCCTGAAAAAAAAAGAACCTTTTCAAATTTCAGTTATTAAAAATTTGTTTCAATTATTCACTCGTTTTCCGATTTAGGCATGTCCAGTCGTTTATTTAATCGCACCTTTCTCACATCTCTACTTATTAGTTCGTTTTATTGCAGCAGTTGTCGCACAGATAAGAAAAAATACTCAAAAAGAAGCTCAAAAGCTAAATATGGAAAAATATTTGGAATTCCAACACGATTCTCCTTTTATGTAAGCAAAATTTGCTTGCCCCCACCGTTAATAATATGCAAATCCTAAAAGCAAATAACTTTTTCTGTTCATGAAGAATCAGAAAATCCAGATCCTATACTATATTTGCCAAAAACTAAATATATATGTATATATATGCTAGAATTTTTGTTCTAGTAATCGAACCGAACGTCAGAATTGCAGCAAAATTTTGTCAGTTTACGATGCACCACTGGTCGAAGCAATTGGAGAAATTGCCAGCTGCACAGCTGAAGAACTGGACTATGAATTATCGCCGACTCAAATATTAGTTATGGCAAACACGCACAATTTTTCACCAGCTTTTCGTTCTCCCACGTCAACCACAATTTTCTCGCCCAAAACGCCCGCATTTTCAATCTGATATTTCACAGTTTCACCGTCCAACTTTGCATCCTGAATTTCCAGTGATCGACTATCCAAAATCTGTAAAAAACGGAGCTGAAAAGAACTTTTACACGAAAATTTCTTAGTTACTTAACATGTCATTTAACAACTCACAATTAAAAATAACTACAGTAGGAGTTTACTGAAGGAAATTAGCGATTACACCCAAAACAATTTTGTAATTATG